TGTCTAACACATTCTGGGCAACCGCTCTTCCACTGAGCTACAACCCCAGCCCAAGAAGGGACTATTTTAAAGATGAGAAAACAGGATGACAGAAGTAACTATCCCTAAGTTACATAGCTTTTAAGTGGCAGAGCTGACTCCAATTTCAAGTTCTTAATTATGACACTATGGCATACAGGAATCTAAACATTATTGCTTCCAAAGTAAATTTTTACATAAACATCTTAGGCTTATTTCACCTGATGCCGATTTACATAATGCTCTCCAAAGTATTTCAAAAGTTTCTATGGCAACACTGTAACTCCTGCTGTATAAAGCAGGTTATTTTTAGAGGATACTGTATACTTGTCTCCACCTGCTGGTTTAACAAAGTCTTTGTCAAGGTCTTAGCAAAATCAGAATAGAATTACTGTAAGGCAGCAGTTCTCTCTCTCCTTTTCTTTTTCTTTTCTTTCTTTCTTTTTTTTTTTTTTTTTTTTTTTGGTACTGAGGATTGGACCCAGAGAGGCTTAACCACTGAGCCACATCACTGGTCCCCAAGGTCTTGTTAACTTGCTCAGGGCCTGGCCAACTTGCTGAGACTGGCTATGAACTTGCAATTCTCCTGCTTCAGCCTCCTGAGCCTCTGAAATTATAGGTGTGGGCCAAGGTAGGGGTTCTCTAAGTAAGGTCCCAGTCCAGGAGCATGAACATCATCTGGATACTTGTAGAAATGTCATTTTATTGGGTCCTACCCCAAAATTTACTAAATCAGTAACTGGTGTCAGGGCTTCAGCAACCAGTGTTTTAACAAGCCCTCCCAAAGTGGGTTGCGGGTATGGTCATCGATTTAGTCTCTGTACCTTCACAACTATTTAGTTCATTAGAACTATCTTTTTTAAAAATATACTTTACTAGTAGTTTTTTTTTTTAAGTTGTAGGTGGACACAATGCCTTTATTTATTTATTTATTTATTTATTTATTTTTATGTGGTGCTGAAGATGGAACCCAGTGCCTCACACATGCCAGGCAAGCTCTCCACCACTGAGCTACAACCCTAGCCCCCATTAGAGCTATCTTGGTTCTTTTTTCTTGCCCATCACCACATCCATTTTTTTTTCTTTTTACTGTTTTCTAAAGTTGATACTGGTATGGATTGCCTTGGGCCCTCCTGGGCTTCTGCAAAAACCTCACTATCCTTAATCACCAACCGTGGATCACCAGATTGATCTGTCCAAAAAACTACATGATTCCTACATGTCATTTTCAGTGGTTTTCCACTACCTATAGTTTAATCAGAGGCAAATTACTAGTCACACACTTTTAAGTGAACAGCAGACTAGGTCATATTCTATGGTATGGGCAGAAAGTGTGATACCTTTCATTAACCATCATAAGGGTCACAGATGACACTTCTATAACCAAAGGAAGGTTTACAAGAGAGGCCGATCAAGGTCATTTGATCAAGTTTTACTTGAGATGTGAGCCTTCAGAAATGAAGACTGAAGAAAACTGTTATTTAATGTTTAGGTTTGATGAGGAATGGACAGGTATATAGAAATGTGATTGGACAAAAGAGGAATATCTATGGAAATAGGGGGAAAC